GGAAAATAGAGAGGGTTGTGTTTTCTGACACTTGGTGAGTTCCCTGGAACAAAGGGGACACATATTCATGTATAAAAGACGTACAAAAGTGCATTTTGCATGATAGGTCCCCTTTAATTAAAACGATAGTAATGACTTTGAATGGTTTTATTGCTTAGAAAATCTCCGATATTCACAGAGATTACAGATTTATCAATTTTTTTTAGTATTTTACAAAAATATTTCACTTTTATTTATAATTTTTTTCTCAGACATTTACCTTTTTTAATCTGTCAAATTCACAGATTTTACTCCAAATATATCCCTCTCCTCTATCTTTGTTTTGCCTCAAATTGCTCTATCAGTTCACATGCTTAATAAAGGCAAATCTGAAACAGGTACCGTCAAAGAATTAGGATCATATAGGGTAGTCAACCCACAATAGAAAACCCAGCTGCAGAGGTTTGGATTGGCTTTCTGAGAGCTAACAGCTTAATATGAAGTGTCTTATAGTTTCATGCTGACATCAGAAAATGTTGGAATTAAATGAACAACAATTTCAAATGCATTCACACATTTAAAATCATGAAAGAAAGTTTTTTGTTAATGAAAATATACTAAAACATGTCTAATATGTCTCTTTTTTGTGTCTCTTCCAGGCGCACATCAGTGGACTGATAAAGTCTAAGTTCATGAGCTACAAAGACTTCCACACTCTGATGTACACGTGTGCTGCAGAGTTTGACTTCATGGAGTTAGAGGTAAAGTTTGTTTTTACCAAAATCTGGCCCTCAACAAGATTAACAAATAATCCTCCTTGTGACTTTGTGTGCTAAAGTGTTCTCTGAGATAAATCTGAGGTGGATTGGTGTGAAAAACAGTTATTTGTATCAGAATAAACCTGCTATTTTATATCAAAGAGTCTGATATGTTCCAGCAGGCATCAGAGCACAGGGAACCAGATCTGTGCTTTGAATTGCAAAGGAAATAGAAACCTGGCAGCTCATTTTGATTTCAACTCTTTTACAAACTGGACCCTGCTCATGTTGTGTTTGCATGTTGTGACTGTGCAGTGTACATTCAAGATTTTGAGATGTCTTAACTTACGGTGTCTCTCCGTCCCTCAGACCCCTTTAAAATACCTTAAAACGTTGCTGCTGCCCATCGACATGCTGGTGGTCGCTGTCATCGCCTGGAGGGTAAGTGTTCCTGTAGCTTCTGGACAGAAATCAGATAAACAAGCAGCAAAACAAATATGACCCACAAAAGTAACATCTTAAAGTTGCAATCATTTGGTCCTTGTTAAAGGGGCCCTATTGTGCTAATTCTCAGGTTCATAATTCTCAGGTTCATAATTGTCTCTACTGTGACATGTCTCCATGCTTTAATGTTCAAAAAGCTCTTTATTTTTCTCATACTGCCTGTGCTGCAGCACCTCTTTTCACCCTCTGTCTGAAACCAGAGCCCAGTCTGCTCTGATTTGAGTTTTATTTGTGCACTTTTCATACACAAGGTGCAGTTTAAAGCCTTTTTTGCACCAACACAGTCTCACTCCCTGATAGTCCAATAGCAACGCTTGGTCAGGGTCCTTTGGCGTGCAGTTGTGACGCGCCGAGTCTCCTTCAGCTTCATAAACGGACGCAAATAGCTGTCAACTGTGAAATTAAAACAGAACGGTAAAAGAATAGTTTCCGGTCTATTCTGAGGCCCGATCTCTGTAGATAAATAAAGAACTACGACAGATGTGTAATGTTTAATGCAGCCGAACCATTTATTACAATGCATTCATGTGGTGACTTTCAAAGAGTAAAGCAAGCACTGCTGAATAAAGTATGATTTAATCTTTTACGAAACGTTTTTTTTCATATGGAATGCAGTTGGAGGTCAACCAATCACACTAAACTCCGAAAAAATATTTGTTTCTCCGAATCGAAGGGGAAAAATACAAAAGCATTGTACACAATTTAAACCAATCAATGTTGTGTAATTAACAAGGATAATCCAACACACTCTCACTCCCTAAACGTCCAGGAGCTACGCTTGGTCAGGGTCCCGTGGCGTGCAGTTGGGACGCTCCTAGGCTCCTTCAGCTTCATAAACGGACGCAAATAGCTTTCAACTGATTGCAATGTATTCCCATCTGCGGCGGGATTTGACACTCATGGAAGCACGGCATTCGTTTGTGTCGGCGGCTGTTAAAGGCAATGTGACCGTCCATTCCCATTGGATAACGGAGAATTGTACACCCGGGAGTAAGTATTCCCCTAACTGTCGATTGATTTGACAGTGATATCTCCACTACTCATCAACTCAAAAACACCAGATTATCCTTGTTAATTAAACGACATTGATAGGTTTTAGTGTCCAATGCTTTTGTCACGTTTTCCCCTTCAATTCTGAGAAACAAGTAGTTTTCTATGAGTTTTGGATGGCCGAAGACATTACATTACCCACAATCCTCTGTAGCAACCATAGACTGTATATTGCAACAGGCAACAGCTTCGGTTCATGTTAATTTACAAACTCTTCAACTACAACCGTAGTTATATTTAAAAACATGTTAGAAGGCCTCACGAAATACTTTAATGTACATTTAAATTTAAATGTGAAGGAATGTGTGTACAACAAAATACATCGTTCATAAACGAAACCGGAAACAGACGTAGGCAAGATCCTCAGCTCGATTATTGGATGGTTTAACCGCAATGCACGCTGGGATTTGGTGTTTATGCGATGTGAAATCCGAAAACATTTAAAAAAATTATAATAATACATTATTCCGAGTGTGCTTGCTTTTCTCTTTGAAAGTCATCACATAACGGCATTGTAATACACGTTTCGGCTGCATTAAATATTACATATCTGCCGTAGTTGTCTATTTATAGAGCCCTGATGAGAAGACTTCTAGACAAACAGGAACAACTGCCGCCAAAACTGAAAACTTGACGTGGATCTTAAATATATAAGCAATTAAACAACATCTTACATTTCTTTTCACACAATACGTCTCCTTGCAGTATCAACACTAATTCGGTTGACTTTTATATTTGATCCAATTGGTAGATAGGCTGTATTTACACCATAACGGTGCACAGCTGATATAAAGGGACACATACTGGTTAAAGCACGTTATTGCATTTTATTGTTTATTATTAGATATTAATAGGATCCCTATAAAGTATATTCTTTACTCGTCGTCATTCTCTACTAATAGTTAATTAAAGACTGTATATAATGACTATTTTGCACATCCCATTCAAGATTTCAAGATTTTCAATATGTGTGTATACCTCCGCCATTAAACTGTCATATTCTGCACATTTCTTATACTATCTACATACATCTTATAAGAGTATAATACATATGTACAGTATAATATCAGTTAAATAAGTGCTTAAACATAGTTAACATTGCTATGTTTAAGCACTTATTTTAACTGATATTATACATATGTATTATTCCTTCAGGATACACATGTGCAGCCTCGAAATTTCCCGCAACGAAGTACGCCGGCCTCGGTAGAATTCCAAGTATCCTGGACATTGGAACAGTCCTTCGGCGGCACTCGATGACGTAGTATCCTTGAAATAGTGGCTCTGGAGCAGCTTTCCTCGACATTGAGAAACACCCAGAGTCTGCTTCTCCCCCTGTGCCAGTTTGTCTTGTCTCACCAAGTCTGCTAGTCATCCCTTGACCTTGCTAAGTATATTTTTGATAGACACTTTGTGTTACGTTTTTGATAATCCAAGTAGTTGTTTTGTTTAGCGTTTTTGATCTTATAGTTTCTCAGTTTTGATCCTCCTAGTGAGTGTTTTGTGTTTTTGCCTTTTTATTAAATACTTTGTTAATCCTGACCTGTTTCTGGTGTCGTGCGTTTGGGTCCTGAGCCTTGTGTCATTCATAACAGATAGCAGGTTTCAGGAAAATTGGGGAATCTCAATAATCTCAAGGCCTTTTAAAATGAAGTATACACAACTATGGTTTAACCACTACTTATATGGTGGCAGAAGCAGCAGCGTGTTTAGACATTCAATTACAAATACTTAAAAAGTGGAATAGAGAATTAACAATATCAAATATAAACAATATCAAATATTCTGGATAGTTAAAATGTTCTAGGAAAATTCCCAAATACTGCAGTAGCAGGAATATAGGCTCATAAATAACAAAACAAAATAATGAGCCATGCTTTGTGAAAATATCATAAAACTTTAATGTGTTCACCTTGAAGACCTGATGGCAAGACAGCTTGAGAAATTCAGAAATGTATCGTGTTTTGAAAATAAAATCGATTACAAGAACGCAATCACAACATTTCACATTTACAAAACGTTTCCAATGTAGCTGTGTTTAGGTAGTTTTGGCCGTTGTAGAGGGTAATGTGTGAAATGATTGGGACTAAGATATTAAAAAAATTGTTTGATTGTTTGCTATGAAGTTACAATTTTTTTACTCTAGTGACACCAAATCCAAAATGTTTCATTTATCCTGTTAAACATCTTAAGATCGAGATGATAAATTGCCACATAATTAGTTTGACATTTTATTCTTACATATTTTCTGTTACCACTCTTCTTTTACTTAAAGGTCCCATGTCATGGCCATTTCTACTGATCATAATTCCATTGTTGAGGTTTACTAGAATATATTTACATTGTTCAATGTTCCAAAATCACATTGGTTTCTCATACAGCATCTCTGTATAGTATGTGTATTCACTCTCTGTCCTAAATGCCTTGTTGGAGCTAAGGCTGAGTGAGTGTTTCTCCGCGATCCCAACTCGTCTATTACCAACGTTCAGGGAGCTCTATGCAAGTCAATGGGACTCCCTGATAGTTGAAAATCGACGCCAAAGGTCCCCCCACTGCGTTTGATAGTGACGCCAAGGGATCCTGGTGTGTGAGGAGCTCCACGGATTGGTCCATTTGGACCAATTGTTCCATTTGGTCGTCGTTACGTCACTTAGACCAGGAAGAAAAAAATGGAAAAAGAGAAATGTCCAACGAGGCGTTCTGGGGCAGCATAGACAGGTATTTTCTGTGTTAGAGTTTTACTCGCTACAGGGTGTAATTTGAGGGTTTTTGACTTTGCAGACCGTTTACATGCATAACAAGCTACATAACACACAAGGGGACGGGTAATAAATTGTAAAGCATGTCATGGGACCTTTAATTGATGGTATCAACATTCCTTTTCAATACCTTTTCAAAACTAAATTCATAAACGCAAATAAACATTCAAAAAACGCAGACAAACAAAAACAAGAAAAGGCCATAAGATAAGAGCTGAATCTAACACAAGAAATTAAAGATTAGTCTATTCATGATGTCGAAACTTAGTTCAAACATTCATTCTTTTATTTATTCATTCATACTGGTCCTTACATCCTTTTAAACTTTTTTTTTGTTTACTTTAATTAGGTTTTATACCAGCCTGTCGGACACATTTTAAATCCAGACCTGCTGCAGAACGTCTCTCATAGGGTTATGTTTTTTATCGCACTTGTCTGATTGTATAATCATATGCGCCGTTGCTAGAGTCTGTTGATATGCTGTCCAGACAGCCCTAAATGTGATCACATTTAGGGCTGCCTTGTCATTATGTTGTGAAGCTCTTCTTATCTCTGAACGGCCTGTTGGACGAGAAGTGAAAAGAGGGAAGTGTCACTAATGGAGTTTGAACTTTGATCAAGTGTATGTTAGAATGAGTGTTCTGATAATGTGGTTCTATAGTGGTTCCTTCAGATAAACTAAGTTAAATATTTCTACAGAAACCTTTGAACAAACATATATCATATCTTAAAACGTACCTTCAGCACAAAGAAGACGGCTGAGTCTATTCATTCTCGTATATCGCTGAAGTGTTCTCATACACATCCTCTTCTAGTTCTAGGAGGAAAGAAAAGTGTTAATACCTTATTTTGAATACATATGTACAATTTGATCACATGAATACTAACCTTTATTATCAGATGGTGGTTCAGCTTTGTTGTTGTTTCTGATTGTGTTACTGCTTTGTTGTTGTTTTCTAAAAAGCAATGATAAAATATAGACATGCAAACAGATCAACTCAATTCAAACTGTTACTTTTCATTACACAGACTGCAGTATAGATGTTCCAACTTACTTTGTGCTATAAACGTAGTACCCTCCTCCACCGACAGCTCCAATGACGACTAAAACAGCGATTACTATTCCAGCGATGCAACCACCCGAACAGCCTGGTGGTACTAAAATAAAACAGGAGATAAAACATGACTTTTACATCATTCTGGTAACTGGAACTGTCTCTTCATCTCATCATCCCTGTGGATAAAAGGCACAAATAAGCACAAGCACATAAGAGCAAACAAAAGCTCACAGAGAATTTAAAAAGATAAAATCATAAGCACTACTACAGATTACAACACCATGTTTGATTGTTTGATTTGATTTTAAGATTTTGAGAGATGTCACATTCCTTAATTCTGATTATACAGGTGCCGGTTTTATAATAATGATAATGATTTTTTGGAGCCCGCTAAGATATGTTCCTTCTGATTTGAATGGGCTCTTACTACTAACTCACTGCCTTCAAACATGCCGTGGTTAAGCCACTACTTAAAAAGAAAAATCTCGACCCTTCCATTCTCGCTAATTTTAGGCCCATCTCCCAGCTACCTTTTTTATCAAAAGCCCTGGAGCGAGTAGTCTACGCCCAGCTGCAGTCTTTTTTAACCACGCATGGAATCCATGAAAAGTTTCAGTCTGGCTTCAAACCCATGCACAGTACTGAAACAGCCCTTTTAAGAGTTTTTAATGATCTGCTCCTAGCCGCCGACTCAGGTAGCCCAGCTGTCTTGGTGCTGTTAGACCTGACAGCTGCCTTCGACACTGTGGGCCATAGCATCCTGTTGTCACGGCTTGAACAGTCCGCTGGCATCACAGGCTCTGCCCTTGCATGGTTCAGGTCCTACCTGACAGACCGTAGCTTCTCGGTGCAGCTAGGTGCCTTCTCCTCTGCTAAAGCCCCTCTTACCTGTGGGGTTCCCCAAGGCTTGATTCTGGGCCCCATCCTTTTTCTACTGTACATACTGCCCCTAGGTTCAATTCTCACAAAACAGAACATCCCCTTCCACTGCTACGCCGACGATGTACAGATCTATCTGCCACTCAATTCAAATGTTAACTCATTACAGCTATTGATGGACTGCTTAGCAGAGATCAAATCCTGGCTGAGCCAAAATGTCCTCAACCTCAATGAGAGCAAGACTGAGGTTATCTTTTTTGGACCCCAACCTCTAGCCTCCCAGGTTGATATTCTGGGCTCCCTCAAAAATAATATCCTCCCCTCTGTCACGAACCTTGGAGTGACCTTCACTAGCGCCTTTAAATTCGATAAGCAGGTCAGCAGCGTAGTCAAAACCTGCTTTTTTAAAATACGACTATTGGCCAAGACTAAGTCGTTTTTATCGTTTGAGGACCTGGAAAGGGTTATTAATGCCTTTGTTACCTCAAGGTTGGACTACTGCAACGCTCTGTCCATGGGTATGGACCAGGCGTCAATTAAACGCCTGCAGCTAGTCCAGAACGCAGCTGCACGTCTACTCACTGGCCACAAAAAGCGTGACCACATCACCCCAATTCTGGCCTCACTGCACTGGCTTCCAATTCGGTTCCGAATTGATTTTAAACTCCTTTTATTTGTTTTTAAAGCACTAAATGGGCTGGCTCCGGCCTATATAGCCGAACTCCTCCAGCGCTACACCCCAACAAGAGCTTTAAGGTCTGCTGACCAGCTGCTGCTGGTAGTGCCCACGACCAGGCTCAAAACCCGAGGGAACCGAGCCTTCGCAGCAGCTGGCCCGAGGCTCTGGAACACTCTGCCCCTCCACGTGAGGTCGGCCCAGACCCTAGGGGTTTTTACATCTACTCTTAAGACACACTTCTTCTCCCTGGCCTTTTAGTCAGAGCGGAGCACGACTCCCGACTTTTCCCTGTGTTTTATTTTTAAATATCTGTTGTAATTTATTGTCTTTTATTGTGATTATAGAAATGTGTTTTTATGTGATTGTATTTATTACATGTACAGCACTTTGGCCCGACCAAAAATCGCTTTTAAATGTGCTTTATAAATAAACCTTGATTTGATTTGATTTGTATGTGTTACGGTCAGTTCATGGACTGCTGATGATTTTCTCCCGGTTATATCATTCATCGCTTGACAGTAGTAGTTGCCACTGTCAGATAATTCAGCGTAATTTTTATAAAACACAGCAGAATTGTGTATCACTGTCCCTTTCAGCGTCCAGGTGTATTTTGCAGGTGGTACAGATGCAGCAGAGCAGGTTCATTTAAATGTGCCTCCAACATGTATCTGACTTGGACTTGTGATTTGATTTGACAAAATACTCACAATAGTAGGAATTTATCTCTTCAAGTTTAACAAAGGTTTTCTCTATCTTACTTTTTTTTTTAATACATATTTTAAGGCAAATTGATTTGAGTACACCTTTCTTATCACACCTGTACTGTATGCATTAAACCTCTCAATGCAAACTTACCCAGTACAGAAACAACTGAAGGCTGAGACGTTACTCTTTTTCTACAAATTCCTTAAGGCCAAATATATGTTTCTTTATCTCCTAAACTTTCCTTTATATTAAACGGCTAGACACGTTGTCTGTCTGCAGGGCACGAAGTATAGGACCTTATTGCTTTTTAATTTAATATAAAGACACATCATTTTGAGTAAATCTTTTAACCAACAGATATTATGCTAGTAGACACGATCTTCAACTATTTCCACTAACCGTCCTATTTCAAACTTACCCACAGAAACAACTGAAGGCTGAGACGTCTCATATCTCAGAGTTTTGTCATTAAAGGCCTGACAGCTGTGGTTTCCTCTTTGGTTTTGCTGAACGTTCATCAGTTTGAGCTCTGGTCCATCAGACAGCAGGTCTCCATCCAGAAACCACTTAAACTGGGCAGGAGGTCCGGAGTCAGCTGAGCAGGACAGGACGATGTCTGATCCTTCCTGATGGTGCTCTTTTGTCGGATATATTGTCAAAATAGTATTTTCTGGGCCATCTGAATTTAGCAGCAAAAAGTTAGTATTCACAACTGCATTGTTTATATACAAGGATATGTTTTGTATTATTTAAAACCCATGCGTGAATAAAACTAAACAAGGTAAAACCACTTAAATCGGACAATTATCTAAACTCTGATTGCATCTAGATTGTATTTGGTAAATATACTGAGCATGCAGGTTAGTAACTCACGGTAGATGGTGAGGTTTAGTGGAGCACTGTTTCCCTCACTGAAAAGATTGAACACATGACACATGAAGGGTCCCTGGTCATAGCGGGTCACATTAGTTATAGTTAAAGTGGATCCTCCATCAGTGATCTGAACTCTGTCACTTCCTGTAACCTCAGAGCTGCTGTTCAGCCAGAGGAAAGAGGGGAAAGATCCAGAGGAGGAGCAGGACAGACTGACGGAGCTGTTGAACTCCACCAGCCCTGTGCTGCTGGAGGTTACTGTTACATTGGAGACTGGTGCTGTGGGTGAAACACAAAACATATCATATATTTGCCACCACCTCATAAAGGTACTGAAGAATAAAACCCTGCAGTAGCTGGAAATCAATCCAGATATATAAAAACCTCTGGCTTCACATTGCCACTAGAGGAGATACTCTCTCACTTATCAGGTTATGACGTCTGTACAAGGACCAAAAACACTATTTTGGCATTATACAAACTGTTATGCACAACAGAGAGACATTCAGCTTTTGTTAATATTTTGTCAGGCTGGCATTGAACTGGCAATTGTATTTTCAGATTGTTTATTTTTGGTGGTAGTTTAAGTGACATTGTTGACTTTTAACAGCTAAAAATGCTACTTATTTGATCAACAAGAAGTCATTCTCCTTAACTTACATCTTCGTACAGAGACAGCTACAGTCCGAGATGTTTGATTCATCAGAGTTTTGTTGTTGAAGGCCTGACAGCTGTATTTCCCACTCTGACTGATATGAACGTTCATCAGACTGAGATCTGATCCAGTATCAGACATCAGGGCTCCGTTCAGAAACCACTGAACAAAGGCAGGAGGTCCGGAGTCAGCTGAGCACGTCAGGATGATGTCTGATCCTTCGTCATAGTATTCTTGTGATGGAGATATTATCAGATTTGTATTTTCTGGGCCAACTGTGACAGAAAACCAAAAAAATATGGTTACCCATAAATTATAGCGAGTAAACGGCAGCAAAGAAAAATATCACACATAAGATCTGGGCAATATATTGATACTCTACCGAAATCATAACATTACTGCTGTGTTGCAGTAAGGTGGTGGAATTGTCTAAATGATTTATCATATGTTTGTACTCACATCCACATTACTTATGATAATTTATTAAATATCTCATTGTATAAATATGTTTTGAAAGCACCATATGTCACCCGTAGATTATTATATTAATATCTATATTGAGATATTTTATAAACATCCATATCTCCCAACCATACCACAGATAAATAATGTTTTTTGTTGACTTTTAACTTATTGACATACTGTACCAGGAACCAAAAATGTTATTTCTTCTAAAACTATTACATTTCACATACAGTATGAATAAAAGAAAACGAAACAATTTAAAATAAATATGCCTCCAAATGTGGCAGATAAGTAATGTTAATATTGAGGGAAAAGGTACTCATGATGACATTCTGAACCCTGACTCAATATAAAGACTTTTTTAATTGTCTGGGATTTGAGGGAAAAATAAAGGTTAGTAACTCACAGATGATGAGTAGGGTTACTGCATCACTGGTTCCCTCACTGACAAGATTCGTCACCTGACAGCTGAATGGTCCCTTATCGTAGCGCGTCACATTATTTATAGTTAAAGTGGAGTTCCCATCAGTGATCTGAACTCTGTCACTTCCTGTAACCTCAGAGCTGCTGTTCAGCCAGAGGAAAGAGAGAGGGGATCCAGAGGAGGAGCAGGACAGACTGACAGAGCTGAACTCCACCAGCTCTGTTGGTTCTGAAGTTACGGTTACATTGGAAACTGGCTCTGTGGGTGAAGCACAAACAACAAATATTTGCCACTACCTCGTAAATTCATAGAACTAAACGAGAAGCAACATTTGAAAAGTTCTCTCACCTTTTATGTTCAGTATTGTGGTCCCTGTCTGTGGTCGTTCTCCAGGTAGTAAAATGGATACTGAGTATTCTCCACTGTCATTTAGACTCAGGTTCTTGAGCTCCAGAGATCCAGTAGACATGATAAAAGTGATCCTGTCTTCATACTCTGGTTCGGTGAAGTTTTTAACATTCCAAGTAAACATATCTTCAGCACCAAATTTCCAGGTCACTGATTGAAATGGTGTTCCTGGAGTTAGTGTTGTGGTGAACATCACTTTCCCTCCCACAGCTGCATTCAGACTGTCTGGCAGCACACCAGCTCCTTCAGTTAAACCTGGAGAGAGACAGAGAGAGGGACCTACTTTAGAAATCATTCAAAACACAATACTGCAGCAGACAAAGTAATATTTGTACTCTGAGGAAGCTCATAAACAGTTTATCTGGATGTGAAAAGACCGTTTTCAATGCTAAGTTTTTGTTTTATGGTATTTCTAAATTACTTTCAGCTCTTAAACCAAACAAACCCTGTGAATAAAGTCAGGGCAATCTTCAAGTTACTAAACAGCTGAAGTAGTTGACATGTTTTCACAGTAGGTTTGGGTTCTCAGAAACATCGGCATAACCCCCTCCCTTATGATAGACACATTTCTTACCACAGGGAAACAGATTCCAACAGAGAGAGAAACTTACTGTCTGTCAATAATTATTGGTTTCTCTTTGATAAATAAATGAACAAACACTTTAAATAGAAAGAGCTCACCTGAGATGACTCCCAGGATGATGAAGTGTATCACAGCTTTTTCCATGTTTTCCTGCAATAACATAAAACAACCTAAAAATGGGATCACAGTCCTTCAGCTCGGCTTTGCTTATTTCAGATAAGACAGATAGCACTTTGTGGGCGGGGTGCTACTATAATTATGCCTCTAAAAGGTTTACCTTACCAGAAATGTTGTTGATCATTGACAGCGTATGCAGCAAGCAATTTATAAATTATCCTTCAGAAGTAATTGAAAAATTGCCTCTCGTAAAAGAGCTGAGTTTTTATTATGTAGATACCATGGTGCTGTGGAGTCACACCAGACATGATGCAGAGATTGACCAGGGCTGTGGAGTGGCTCTTCTCCCACCTGGTTTGGACTAAGACCATCTTTATACTCTACCTTTATTTTCATTTCAACAACACATTTTATAAAGTTTTGTGATTGCATTTGCACCATATATGTTTAAAATGACACACACACATGCTCACAAGGGGAAAACAAAACCAGTATCGCTGTTGGGCAGTGTGTAACTTTTTATAAATTGCTTGTTGCGTACACTGTAAAATGTGTAAATGATCAACAACAGTTCTGGTAAGGTAAACCTTTTAGAGGCATAATTATAGTAGCACCCCGCCCACAAAGGGCTGCCTTGTTCTGTTTTATCTGAAATAAGCAAAGCAAAGCTGAAGGACTGTGATCCCATGTTTAGGTTGTTTGATGATAATGCAGGAAAACATGGAAAAAGCTGTGATACACTTCATCATCCTGGGAGTCATCTCAGGTGAGCTCTTTCTATTTAGTTCTAGTAACGACTGAATTCTGTATCCAAAAACAAATGGTGAAGGCGGCCCCTCTCACCCCTCACAAAAGGAGGAAAATGGTTTAGTCCTCCCCGCACTAGTTGTCCTTAAGCCCCGCCTCCCAGCCGCTGAGTCTCAGCCGCTCTCGGCTCTGTCACATGAATGCAGGAGGGAAAATAACCCTCTGTTTTCGGCTTTTAGCGCATTTAAAAACGTTTAGGATTTAATGATATAAATAAGGGCTATTCAAGTAGTAGTACAATGACTTCAGTGATCTTTTGACTCTGCTCCAAACGTTTCATTTATCCTGTTAAACATCTTAAGATCAAAATGATAAATTGCCACAAAATTAGGTTTAAATGTTATTCTGACATATTTTCTGTTACCACTCTTCTTCTACTGAATTAATGGACTGAAATTCCCTCTTAATTCCTTTTCAATGCAACATTGTTATGACAAATAAACGTTAAAATCATAGACAAACAAAAACAAAAAAGGCCATTAGAGCTGAAACTTACACAGGAAACTAAATATTTGTCTATTCATGATGTCACACCTTAGTTGAAACATTCATACATTTATTTATTCATTCATACTGGTCCTTACATCAATTTTTCTTTATTTAATTAGGTTTCATACCAGCATGTCTGACATATTTACAATTCACAAATGGACATGTTTCTCTGCTGGAGTTGACTGATCCACCACTCGATGTCACTGTTGTTATGTTGCATTAGTTGTAAGGTTGCATAGTTCTCAACATCAACTTACCATAATGCTTTAAGATAAAGGTTAGTTTACTTATATAGCACATTTCAGACACAAAGGCAATTCAAAGTGCTTTACAAAAAGAGAAATCAATTATTGAACAAAATAAATTGATCAAAAAGACAATTCATAAAAGAGATAGAAATGAGTTAAAGAGAGTAATTGTAAATACACATAATGCTGAAGGAGTGCTGAAGTGCAATATTAAATCATATTTAAATGACCTCGGGGAAAACAGCATAAAAAGCAAGGTTTTACGCCTTGATGTTAATGAACCCAGGGTTGGGGCCGACCTCAGATTCTCAGGACACTTGTCGTAGTTTCCAGAAATGGTGTTGTCTGTTTGTACAATGGCGTTAGCTATTTTAGCAGTTAGCCTCTCCACTTAACTTCATCCTTACCTTGGTTGGTGATTGGCTAATGGTTACACAAGCCAACAAATCGTTATGACATCATAAAGTGGCCAAAATCTGATCAGCTCATTTTAAGACAGGACAAAAAGAGAGAGAATCTTTGTTCCTGAAACTTTCAGAATCTCTTTACACAGAGTGTAATGTTGATGTACACTGTAAGAAACGTACCGTGAAATTCACAGTAAGTAACTGGCAACAATTGACAAGTTACTTACTGTAATTCAATTCACAGTAAGTAACTTGTCAATTGTTGCCAGTTAAATACTGTAAAGGTAATCACAGTATTTACAAGTTTTTATTTACAGTAACAGTGTAAAATGAAACACAGTAACTTCCAAGTACTGTATTTGTGTTTACGGTAATAGTGTTTTAACTGTAAAATGAAACACAGTTAATAGCATTTACTTTATTTTGTATTACAGTAGTAGTATTATAGCTGTAAAATGAAACACAGTAACTTCCAAGTACTGTATTTATGTTTACGGTAATAGTGTTTTAACTGTAAAATGCAACACAGTAATATTTAATTACTTTATTTTTTGTAACAGCAGTAGTGTTATAGCTGTAAAATAAAACAGTAATTTCCAAGCATTGTATTTTTGTTTAAGGTAATAGTATTTTAACTATAAAATAAAACACTGCCATTTAAAAAGTACTGTATTTTTGTTTATGGTAATGGTGTTTCAACTGTAAAATAGAAACTTTAATGCTATCATTTTAAGTTACAGTATCAGTATTGTAACTGTAAAACAATTTATTATTGTATACTTCATGTCATGCTGGTAATTTACATATTACCAGAAATTCTTGACACAATTTTAAAGCTCACCAATAACTGCAGGGAGACAGCAAACAATACATTTTAACAATGTATTCTTAATTGTTGAACGGTATCAAGACCATGTCGTTTCTTGTGCTAAATGAGAAATATTTTCATCCATAAAACAATCGATATTAAAGGTAGGGTAGGTAAGTTTGAGAAACCGGCTCGAGATACACTTTTTGTTATATATGGAATGCTCTTAACATCCCGATAGCAATGAATATCTTAAGTGCTTTGACAAAAAATCCATTAAAAAATGTCATCTGTGGAAGTACTGTAAAAAGTACGACCAATCATCTGAGCCGGCCCGGCTAAAATAACTGGATGGCCTACCTGCCTGTCAGCCTTCCATCTGGGCACAAACTTATCTCGTGCCCTCATTGGTCATGTGCGCGTTCGTGTGTGTTGGAGGAGGGGCTCTATAAGTAAGTGGCAGATTTTCTCCGGTTGTGTATTTTCAAATTCTAACGATCTCGAGCCGGTTTCTCAAACTTACCTACCCCACCTTTAATATCCAAAAACATGGAGATTGCATTTTTAAAACAGTGGCGATAACAAATCAACACAAAAAATATGAAGCCATTTCTTCTGCCAAGCCATTTTAGAGACGTGCTGTAGTTGAAAAGGTGTCACGACCTCGACACAAACTGGAGAACCCAAATGCACGACCCAGAGATACAGTCTTGAATGTAACAAAAATTGTCTTTTTAATGTCATTGAACAGAAAATCCCTCTTAACAGAGTAAGTACTGGAATAACAAAAAAAACGCTCACAAGGAGGAAAAAACTAAGCATAATAAAAAGAGAACTTAAACTAACAAAACCTAACAAGACTGGAAACGATCCTCTCTTTGCTGAGGCCTGGCACGACCACACGTGGGAACAAACACAAACTGACACAGAACAGGGGAAGACCGGAATATTTAAACATGAGGTGAGTGGGAACAGGTGGAAACAATCAGGGGCGGGGCAGACGCTGACAATGGCGGGAAAACACACAAAGGGAGGAAGTAACAGGGCCTGAAATGAGAGACAAGAGGGAAGTACAAAATAAAACAGGAAATGGAAAACGAGACACGACATGAAACACGGGGACTTAACTAGAGATGAATGACATAAATAGACAGACCTGACCAGGGGCGGACTGGGACAAAAATTCAGCCCTGGAAACTGACCCAGTCCGGCCACATGAAATGTCAAATGTTAGAAATCCGCTGTTTATTATTTAAAGTTTTACGTCCGATTCGCTCCTTTTTTCCTCTCTGTACACAGCTCCAGTTTGGGCATTGGCCTGTCATCAGATTTCATTTTGAGTTGCTGCTGTAGTAGTGGAAGTTTAGTAAAAAAAAATGTTATGAAATAATCCAAATCTTCACCCTCCATAATTGCACTTGCTTCAGTTGCTTGCTACTTTTTAAGGGCGAACTGAAGTTGATGCGATTTGGTTGGATTGTGAGGCATGATGTGAGCCTCATCTGATTGGTCAATCCCTCAATTTCTTTTCACCAAGGGAAGCCAATTTCGGCTAGCCTCCTCTCGCAACAGAGTGCAATCTACTGTTTCACCATAACATCTAGAGGGGCGCTGTTTCACTCTTTGTAAAATGGGGGATGGGGAATTGAGAATGGGGGAGAGATGGGCCGGCAGAATATTTACCGAAACTAAACGAAGTGTTTTTATTTATTTATTAAAATTATAACTACAATCCAAAAAAACAGGGGAAGCCACCAGCTCAACTCTGTCCATCATCATGAACGCAGGAGGCTGGCTGTATATCTGAACTCGCGCCCTCATCATTCTCTTCATCATCTTGCACTTGTTCTAAGCTGCTGCTGATAGTGCTTGTAGCAGCGCTGCTGCCAAAAAGGTCTGTCAATTTGCGACATTTATATGCATCATTTATAAGCATCACCTGCGAGTTTATCAGTGGATGTTTGCTGGAACTGTTTGTAAACAGCGTGTTACCTGACGGACACACACAGCGTGACTCCGGTCAGGTAGAGACCGGTCTCCACCGCTGCAGACTCGCTGTTTGAGGGCTTGATAACCCACTCCCCCTCCACACTGCTCCACACTCGTTGGTTTGGAACAGCACGTAATGTGGCGGACCCTCCGCGCGAGGGCCTTCGTGTGGCCGGTCTTTTTTCTTCTTCGTGTGTGATTATTTGACAGATAAGAACCACACAACTGCATTAGCGGCCGCTGTCGCCCTCTGTCGGCCGTAAGCGCAACTTAAATGATGACTTTAAAAAAAAAATGTAAAGGGCTGGCCGGCCGTCAACGGCCCTTGACGACCGGCCGTTCTGTGGTTCTCCAGATTCTACAGATGGCCAGTCCGCCCCTGGACCTGACATGACGTGCATAAACATGAAAACCTGACTGAACATGAAATGACAGACACAGGGGCGGACTGGCCATCGGGACGTTCGGGACGAATCCCGATGGGCCGGTACTGAAGTGGGCCGCTCGGATAAGTCACTAGCACCCCCCCCCCCCGTCGACAATTTCCTCGCGGTATTTACTTGCGGCACCGAGGTGGGCCGCTCGGATAATGCACTAGCACCCCCCCCCCCCGTTAATTTACCGAGGTGGGCCGGCGGTACCGAAGTGGGCCGGTCGAGAGTCCCGGGCTGATTTGTAGTCCCAGTCCGCCCCTGGACAGACATAATACATAAACATAACTAACACATTTGACGAGACACAACAAAAGGCACTGTTTGGCAAATACATTATCACTATTCTTAGATAATACACAATATTTGAAAACACTTTGAATACAAACAACCAAATGCATGCAGGAATGGACCCTGTACTGAACTTACAAAACTTACACATGTAAGACATTTTGATAAGCTAGCCAAGTACTAAATTAGCTTTTTCACTAAGCAGCCTGACGTCGGACTGTCAAACTTTGGCTACGGTTACATAAATTAACTGACAAAATTGTTTATATTAGTTACTTTCTTTGTCTCTTGAGTTACCATGTCCATTGGGGGAGGTTACTACCTGGTTCAGCAAAGGGCGTGGCCGAGTGCTGAGGACTCATAAATACTGCAAGGAGTGGGACAGATTGGGACAAACCACCTGCTTCCATGTCAAAGGGGGGATTTGGGTTTTGTCAGTGTCCTTTGTGTTTTCTGTTACTATTAATTATCCCTTGGTTTCAACTTGGTTTGGCCAAGCCACTATATAGGTTCCTTGGTTTTTCTTTGTAGCAGGTCAGTTTGTTGAGTTAACACCTGTTAAAGGTGGGGTAGGTAAGTTTGAGAAACCGGCTCGAGATCGCTAGAATTTGAAAATACACAACCGGAGAAAATCTGCCACTTCCTTATAGAGCCCCTCCTCCAACACACACAAACGCACACATGACCAATGAGGGCACGAGATAAGTTTGTGCACAGATGGAAGGCTGACAGGCAGGTAGGCCATCCAGTTATTTTAGCCGGGCCGGCTAAAATGATTGGTCGTACTTTTTACAGTATTACGGCTTCCACAGATGATTTATTTTAATGGATTTTTTGTCAAAGCACTTCAGATATTCATTGCTATCGAGATGTTCCATGGAATATAACAAGAAGTGTATCTCGAGCCGGTTTCTCAAACTTACCTTTAAGTTGATGCCATGTTTCTTTGAGGTACTTTCTGTTGATCTCTTTTTATAGGCCTAGTTATTAGAAATTATTGATTTATGATGTTTTCTGTGGACTTTTGGGTAAATAAAAAACCCAGTTTATTGAAACCATTCCTGTGTCCTGTTGTTCATACCCCTCACTTTTATTTGTTCATCATTCAATTCATTCTATATTTTATTGTGTACATTACTTTTCACTTTACTGCTTTTTGCACTCCTGGTTAGAAGCTAAACTGCATTTCGTACCTGTAATATGTGCAATAACAATAAAGTTGAATCTAATCTTGAGCAGGAACAAATGTATTTACCAGTACATATCTGACATTAACGATTAAACAAATTTGTGCATTCTTTATAAATGCAAACTGGTCAAGACCACTGACGGAAGTAGTTTTGAAAAGTAATAAGTGGTTCTGTCTTTTACATGTAGGATTCAACCCCCCTTGTATTGATTTGTTTTAAAATGAACAGACACTTGAGTCATTCATTTGTAGTGATATAATAATTGTGGGATTTCTATTGCATCCACTTCATCTGCAACGAAGAACGCCAACGCAATTTCCGCCATTGCAAACCGAGTCAAGCCGACTCCGAGCTGTCCGACTTCAGGCGAGCTTTTTGAGACCTCCCCCAGCTGCAATCGGCAATTCTCGTCTACTTTTGAGGCGAGCCGCAGCTCATCTCAAACAAGCCTATTTTTTTCTGTTGACCGTTTTTGTCCCTATAGTTTGTCGTTAGTTTTTGTTTATTAAATATTGTCAGACTATATTACTTCGGTGTGGACTTTCTCTTTGAAAACGCGTCACAGCCTATAGCCAAACTTAGCCTCTCGGCGACTCAAACTGGACTGGGAATTGAGCCGCCACAATAATAATAAAATTGATGATTATTACCTTACTTTTGTCTATTTGTATTCCTCTGTGTTGCGTTTTTAAGGTGCAATGCTAAGACACATTCTTTGTATGAATCAGCATCACATTTGTAGTTCTTCTGGTTTGCAAAGACATACGGTCTTAAAAATATATATCTACTAAGTATATACAATATCTAGTATAGCCAAACTAGTAATTACACTGCATCAAGATTATGTATATTAAGAAAAATATGTTGGTTTATTTAAGATATTTTAGATATTTTAGCTATTCTAGAAATGGGGTTTTTCGGTTGGTTCTTTCTTTTTTGGTTACTGTGATTATCTACAGTACATTGTTGGTTACTGTGATCTTCTACAGTACATTGTTGGTTACAGTGATTTTATACAGTTGGGACGTTACTACTGCTATTTCTACAGTAACTCCAGAGTTGCTGTAATTTTTGGTTGGAAACACGGTATTATACTCTAAAATGGTATACAGTCATTTACTGTGCACAAACACTGTAAATAACTGTGGATTTCACAGCCATTTTTTACAGTGTAGAAAAGACATGATAAAGTGGATTTTGCATAATAGGTGACCTTTTAAAATGTGAAATTCATGGTATTACTACACTGTACATGATAAGTGTTTGCTGACACATTAGAAAAAGCATTTAAAATAATGTGATAACATTTCAGAGCCGCTTTGTCTTTATGTTGTGAAGCTCTTCTTCCTCTGAACGGCCTGTTGGACGAGAAGTGAAAAGAGGGAAGTGTCAAAGAGCTTTAATCAAGTGTATGTTAGAATGAGTGGTCTGATAATGTGGTTCTATAGTGGTTCCTTCAGATAAACTAAGTTAAATATTTCTACAGAAACCTTTGAACATATATCATATCTTAAAACGTACCTTTAGCACAAAGAAGACGGCTGAGTCTATACATTCTCATATATTGCTGAAGTGTTTACATACACAGCCTCTTCTAGTTCTAGGAGGAGAGAAAAGTGTTAATACATCTTATTTATAATACATATGTACAATTTGATCACATGAATACTAACCTTTATTATCAGATGGTGGTTCAGCTTTGTTGTTGTTTCTGATTGTGTTACTGCTTTGTTGTTGTTTTCTAAAAAGCGATGATAAAATATAGACATGCAAACAGATCAACTCAATTCAAACTGTTACTTTTCATTACACAGACTGCAGTATAGATGTTTCAACTTACTTTGTGTTATAAACGTAGTACCCTCCACCGACAGCTCCAATGACGACTAAAACACTGATTACTATTCCAGCGATGCAACCACCCGAACAGCCTGGTGGTACTAAAATAAAACAGGAGATAAAACATGACTTTTACATCATTCTGGTAACTTGAACTGTCTCTTCATCTCATCATCCCTGTGGATAAAAGGCACAAATAAGCACAAGCACATAAGTGCAAACAAAAGCTCACAGGCACAGATAAATTAAAGAGATAAAATCATAAGCACTACTAGAAATTAGAACAGCTTGTTTGATTTTGAGAGATGTCACGTTCCTTCATTCTGATTATACAGGTGCCGGTTTTATAATAATGAAAATCATTTTTTGGATCCCGCTAAGATAATTATGTTCTTACTGACTTTAATGTGCTCCTACCTGGCCCTGGCTCTGGCTCATGTGTTACGGTCAGTTCATGGACCGCTGATGATTTTCTCCCGGTTATATCATTCATCGCTTCACAGTAGTAGTTGCCACTGTCAGATAATTCAGTGTCATTTCTATAAAACACAGCAGAATTGTGTATCACTGTCCCATTCAGAGTCCAGGTGTATTTGGCAGGTGGTACAGATGCAGCCGAGCAGGTTAATTTAAATGTGCCTCCAACATGTATCTGACTTGGACCTGTGATTTGAACTGTTTCTGGTCCATCTGGAAAACAGATATTTGGAAGAATTTATTGTTCAATAGTTCCTCAATAATCTGAACGTATCATTGTGAACAGTAGAGTTATAGTTTGTTACCTACAGAAAACAATCATGGAGTACTTTGCTTCCTCGCTGCTGAGGGGGTTGCTGATAATACAGGAATAATCTCCTGTGTCCTCTTTATTCAGACTGCTGAAAGACAGCTCTCTGTTGTTGTTGGTGAGGGTCATGTTTACAGTCAGAGTCAGATCTAAGCCACCCTTTCTCCACTCTCTGGTAAAGACAGAGCCAGCAGCGTCACAGATTAATCTGAAAGAGTTCCCCTCAATCGGCAGGTTTGATGGAGATGTGACAGAAGCGCCTGATACTTTCTCTGTGGGGCAAAAGATCAGGTGAAAGATATAAAAGCAGGAACAAAAGAAGCTGATTTAATGACTGAGTTAAAGGAACAGTTCCTCTTCAGAAGATGCAAACATTTTACTACTTCTCCCTGAATAATGTATACAACATGCTGAGTGTCGGACTGCCAACAGTTTTTGTTTTTTAATGCACAGTTTTGGACAACCTATAGCTCAGAAATATCATCTATACTCTATAACTAAATATATATACAACTCTATTCTTAGGAATATATTTTGTCAGTTTCCACACTGACTAACAGAAACAGAAAACAGAAAACGGCTTCTCATTAATTGTAGGATTTATTTTCCAAATGAATCAAAACTGTAGGAGTTAAAGGAATCCAAATTGTTAAGGTACTTTTCTTTCCATTTGTTCGAATGTAATTGTTTCAAAGATTAAAGAAATAAAAACTATTTAAATGTATTTACCTGTTGTTATTAAAAATGTAGGAAACACATCGAGAACATATCAAGCATATGATCTTGCAAAAGTATGTTTTATTTATTGTACTTGTATTCTCTATATTAGTCTCAAAATACTCACAATAGTAGTTTATTGCTTTAAGTTAAACAAAGGTTCCTTTTTTTAACTGATATTTTACAGTAAGGAAAAGAGATGTGAGTAAACCTTTCTTATCACATCATTAAACCTCTCAATGCAAACTTACTCAGTACAGAGATGGATGCAGGCGCAGACGTCTCATATCTCAGAGTCTTGTTGTTGAAGGCCTGACAGCTGTAGCTTCCACTTTGATTTATCTGAACGTTCATCAGTTTGAGCTCTGGTCCATCAGACAGCAGGTCTCCATTCAGAAACCACTGAAACTGGGCAGGAGGGTGGGAGTCAGCTGAGCAGGACAGGACGATGTCTGATCCTTCCTGATGGTGCTCTTTTGTCTGAGATATTGTCAAAATAGTATTTTCTGGGCCATCTGAATTTAGGGTTAATACAACAGCAATAAGTTAGTATTCACAACTGCTTTATTATACAAATATAAGGAACTTCTATTGCATAGCAAGCATGCAATGAACCGTTTCTAAATAGAGGTTCCTGATTTACAGTGATTTAGTTCAGACTGTGCTGTAGTGTGCAGGGAGGATATATTGGATTCAAATAGGAGGGGAAAATGTGTTTTAATATGTTATAAACCCATGTGTGAACAAAAAGACAACAAAACAAACTGACAATTATCTAAACTCTGTTTGCAACTAGTTCTTGTTTGGTAAATATACTGAGCATGCAGGTTAGTAACTCACAGTAGATGGTGAGGTTTAGTGGAGCACTGGTGCCCTCACTGACAGGATTAGACACCTGACAGCTGAATGGTCCCTGGTCGTAGCGGGTCACATTATTTATAGTTAAAGTGGATCCTCCATCAGTGATCTGAACTCTGTCACTTCCTGTAACCTCAGAGCTGCTGTTCAGCCAGAGGAAAGAGAGAGAGGATCCAGAGGAGGAGCAGGATAGACTGATGGAGCTGTTGAACTCCACCAGCTCTGTTGGTTCTGAAGTTACCATTACATTGGAAACTGGCTCTGTGGGTGAAGCACAACAAAAAACATTTTATAAAGTTACAGTAGAAAATAAACACTGAAGCCGATGGGAGTGAATATCATCTTAAAATGAAACATTGATTATTCATGGCTCCACATTGAAAGTTTATACACGTTCCTTCCACTAAAAAAAGCTACTTTTTCTGCATTTTTATTTGATGATGATGGTGCAAAGAATGACAAGCCCTATATCATTGTTTACTTGCTCAATTGCTACACCAAACCTTTATTGAGCATAGAAAGAGATGCAACATGTGAAACTTCTCTCACCGTATACGTTCAGTCTTGTGGTCCCTGACATTGATGGTTCTCCAAGGAGTGAAATGGTTACTGAGTATTCTCCACTGTCAGTTAGAGCCAGGTTCCTGAGCTCCAGAGATCCAGTAGACATGAAGAAGGTGATCCTGCCTTCATACCCTGGTTCAGTGAAGTTGTTAACATTCCAAGTAAATATATATTCATTACCAAACTTCCAGGTCACTGATTGAAATGGTGTTCCTGGAGTCAGTGTTGTGGTGAACATCACTTTCCCTCCCACAGCTGCATTCAGAGGACCGTCTGGCAACACACCAGCTCCTTCAGTTAAACCTGGAGAGAGACAGTTAGAGGTCATTGGAAAATAAGCCCTGGGACAAAATCCTTCATAACTCCAGTATTCCATAATACTGTACAGTAGCATCAATGTCTAGCTGTTTATAACAATTTACAAAAAAATGTGGATGCTTGTAAATCTTAAGCATATAAAAAAGATCAAACTTTTGCCACTTCATTCCCATATTGAAGTCTACTAGGCAAAAAGTGTTTTCTTTTCTTTTAGTCTTACAATGAGATCAAATTAGCAAGATACCATTGTGCTATCTATTTGAAAAAGCAACAATCGATCAAAATGTTGATTCACATAATGTTTAATAAAGCTACATTTATGTTTACATACATTTTGTTCACTTTGTATTTGTATAAGTCAGAAAATAAACATCTTGATATTTCCTCAATCACATGCAAAATGCCTTACTATAAGTAAATGTTTTGTTTCAGCAATTAGGTTTTATCAGTCCTGCTTTTGGTCTGCTAACCATGCTGCTTTTGGTCTGCTAACCATGCTGCTTTTGAGTCACAAAATAATGAAAAGTAGACCTCCTGATTATTAGCTAAACTCCTTTCCAAACACTTTTTAACAATTCAGCAATTGTTATAAAGTATAGGAAGTCATAAACATAACAGCAGAAGATGGAAACACTTTTAAAAACCAAGATTCTCACCTGTGAAAGCCAGAGAGACTATCCATAGTAAAGCGAACATATCCATTGTTGGAACTCTGTGAGATATCAAATGCAGAGGAAATGTCAGCCATCAAACTTTGACTGTCCTGATAAATGTGAGCCTCTTGCCGCTCTCAACACATCAGTGAGGAAATGCAGAACTACCTTCGTGTTGAGGTACAAAGTTTCTGCATAATTAGTCAAACCCAGTGAAGCTGCAGACAAGTCCTAAAGCTGCAAGACATCGTCCTCTAGTGGTGTAAATATGTTTGCATGCCATACTGATGGTTGATAAAGAGACGTGAATACTACTGTGGTATTAATAATCAGACTACAGCTGATTTACATCAAACATTTGGTGAGGCCTATTTACTTTAGGCAAAACTTTGTACATAATCACTTGCGGCATATTTTTTATTAATAATAATATGCATGAAAGAAACTAAGTAGTTGGTATAGATCTATCAATTTTGCTGTTAGACCAAAGAAAACTTGAACATTGAAAACACTCAGGAAGCTTCTTGAATTCTGTATTTCGAACTTCAGAGAGAACAGAGATTATTTTGTCTGCTGCAGTTTTGTGTTTTGAAGAGTTTCTACAGTCGATCCTCTCTCTCTCTGTCTCTCTCCAGGTTTAACTGAAGGAGTTGGTGTGTTGCCAGACGGTCCTCTGAATGCAGCTGTGAGAGAAACAGTGATGTTCACCACAACACTGACTCCAGGAACACCATTTCAATCAGTGACCTGGAAATTTGGTCCTGAAAATATATTCAGATTCTTTGGTAGCAACCTCACTGAACCAGAGTATGAAGGCAGGATCACCTTCTTCATGTCGACTGGATCTCTGGAGCTCAGGAACCTGGCTCTAACTGACAGAGGAGATTACTCAGTTGACATGTTTATAGCTGAAGCACCACCACAGTCAGGGATCACAAGACTGGACGTATACGGTGAGAAAGTTTCACATGTTGCATATCTTTCTCTGCTGAATGAATATGTGCGTAGCGATTGAGCAAGTAAACAATGATATAGGGCCCTTTATTGTTTGCACCATCATCATCAAATAAAAATGTAGAAAATGTTGCTTTTTTTTGGATGGAGCTTGTAAAAACTTTCAATGTAGAACCATGAATAATCAATATATCATCTTAAGATGAGACTTTAGTTCAGATCACTGATGGAGGATCCACTTTAACTATAATTAATGTGACCCGCTACGACCAGGGACCCTTCAGCTGCCGTGTATCTAATCCTGTCAGTCAGGTCACCAGTGCTCCACTAACCCTACTCATCATCTACTGTGAGTTACCATACCCTGCATGCTCAGTATATTTACCATATAAGATCTGGCTGCAAACAGAGTTTTGATAATTGTCAGTTTCTTCTGTTGTCCTTTTGTTCATGCATGGGTTTATAACATATTAAAACACATGTTCCCCTCCTATTTGAATCCATCACATCATCCCTGCACACTACGGCACAGTCTGAACTAAATCATTGTAAATCAGGAACCTCTATTTAGAAACGGTTCATTGCATGCTTGCTATGCAATAGAAGTTCCTTGCCTGCAGGTCCGCTGCAACTCTTACTACTTTTAAATCCAGGCTGAAGACTTTTCTTTTTGCCGCTGCTTTTAATTGAACTATTCACATCTTAAACTGCACTGTAACTTTTAACTTTTATCCATGTATTTTTTCTTTTAATGTTTATTTTATTATCTTTTCTTTTTAATGACTGATTTTAAATGCCATTTTTAAAATGTCTTCCATTTTTGTAAAGCACTTTGAATTACCTTGTGTTGAAAGGTGCTATATAAATAAACTTGCCTTGCCTTGCCTTGCCTTATATTTGTATAATAAAGCAGTTGTGAATACTAACTTATTGCTGTTGTATTTACCCTAAATTCAGATGGCCCAGAAAATACTATTTTGACAATATCTCAGACAAAAGAGCACCATCAGGAAGGATCAGACATCGTCCTGTCCTGCTCAGCTGACTCCAACCCTCCTGCTCAGTTTCAGTGGTTTCTGGATGGAGACCTGCTGTCTGATGGACCAGAGCTCAAACTGATGAACGTTCAGATAAATCAAAGTGGAAGCTACAGCTGTCAGGCCTTCAACGACAAAACTCTGAGATATGAGACGTCTCCGCCTGCATCCATCTCTGTACTGAGTAAGTTTGAAAATACGTTTTTGTGCAAAGAAGTACCAAAATGGGTTGTACCTGTGACTATAGCATCAGATGCAACTGTCTTAGATAAAATGAAGGTTGTGCAAAACCTTTGTGGGACAAAAAGAAACAATGCAGTTTTAGGATAATAAAAACTTGAATTGTTGTATAACCAAGGTAAATGTTGCTGTGGCTAATTGGACAAGATATCCTGTAAGGTCAGCCAACACCAGTAAAATGTTTCACCAAGTACTAGGCTTGGTGCATACTGGAATGAACGTGTATAAACTTTCAATGTGAAGCCATTAATAATCAATATCTAATCTTAAACATGGGACTCACTCCAATCCACTTCATTATTTACTTTCTACTGTAACTTTATTAAATGTTTTTTTGTGTTTCACCCACAGAGCCAGTCTCCAATGTAATGGTAACAGCCAACAACACAGAGCTGGTGGAGTTCAACAGCTCCTTCAGTCTGTCCTGCTCCTCCTCTGGATCCTCTCTCTCTTTCCTCTGGCTGAACAGCAGCTCTGAGGTTACAGGAAGTGACAGAGTTCAGATCACTGATGGAGGATCCACTTTAACTATAAATAATGTGACCCGCTACGACCAGGGACCCTTCAGGTGCCGTGTATCTAATCCTGTCAGTGAGGGAACCAGTAAGGAAGTAAACCTCTCCATCAGCTGTGAGTCACTAAACATGCTCACTTTTTTTATCTTTCTTTTAATTGCTGTTTTGTTTTCCTTTACATTCAGTTGGCCCATCAATTATTTATGACAATATTTCCTGTGCAAGACTCATAATACTACGATCCCTTAAACTCTCCACTGTTTTGATTCTGTTGTCAAAGATCCTAAAATTAATGAAACTTCTTCTCTGTTATTCAGTCGGTAAATTCTCATTTAACTCAATGTTATGCTCTTCTCATAGAGATTATATTTCTGAGCTACAGTATAGTTATTTAAAACTGATAACCTATAGCAGTCAGACACTCCACACATGATATACATTATTCAGGGAGGAGTAGTAAAATGTTCGCATCTTATAAAGAAGAACTGTTCCTTTATTTGTATTAACATTAAATCAGCTTATTTTGTTCCTGCTTTTATATCTTTCACCTGATCTTTTGCCCAACAGAGAAAGTATCAGGCACTTCTGTCACATCTCCATCAAACCTGCCGATTGAGGGGAACTCTTTCAGATTAATCTGTGACGCTGCTGGCTCTGTCTTTACCAGAAAGTGGAGAAAGGGTGTCTTAGATCTGACTCTGACTGTAAACATGACCCTCAACAACAACAACAGAGAGCTGTCTTTCAGCAGTCTGAATAAAGAGGACAAAGGAGATTATTCCTGTATTATCAGCAACCCCCTCAGCAGCGAGGAAGCAAAGTACTCCATGATTGTTAACTGTAGGTAACAAACTATAACTCCACTGTTCACAATGATACGTTCAGATTATTGAGGAACTATTGAACAATACATTCTTCCAAATATCTGTTTTCCAGATGGACCAGAAACAGTTCAAATCACAGGTCCAAGTCAGATACATTTTGGAGGCACATTTAAATTAACCTGCTCGGCTGCATCTGTACCAACTGCAAAATACACCTGGGTGCTGAACACCGGGGCGATAGTCAATTCTGCTGTGATTTATAGAAACAACACTGAACTCTGTGACTGTGGCAACTACTACTGTGAAGCGAGGAATGATATAACCGGGAGAAGATCATCAGCGGTCCATGAACTGACCGTAACACATGAGCCAGAGCCAGGGCCAGGTAGGAGCACATTAAAAACAGGCTCTAAAAAATGGAAATAAAATAAAATAAAATGTTTACATCATTGTTTGAAACAATTCTCGCGCGAGTCGCACCACACATACACACTCCCTCCCGGTCCTCCTGATGGCCAGTCCGGGCCTGCCAGTGAGCGTGGAAGTGTGGTCTGCCACAAGCGGGCGGTAGGAGCGGGGCTGTCAGCATCAGCTTGTCGATGGTATTTTAAACTCCATGCGCTCTGAAACTACGGCGGCCGAGGACAAAAAATACACATGCGTTAATCGCGTTAAAATAATTAGTGGCGTTAATTTTTTTTTGCGTTAACGCGTTATTAACGCGTTAACTTGACAGCCCTAATATATATATATATGTATATATATATGTATTCCATTCCTTTACATTTAATATTTAAAATACAAATTAGCAAAATAAACACAATTACACTGCGCTAAACAGCCACATCGACAAACAAACGAGAACCTAAATAAATAGTATGTAATTATATCTAAAACCACAATACGTTAATTACCTGTACTCGGTGCGCCATATTGTTTGTCTGTTCTCTGTAAACCTCATGTCTCCTTAAATATCCTTGCGTCAGCGTCAGTGTCGTCAATTCGCTTTTAATCTGCCATGTACGGTAATGTCTCTCAGCCACCGTAGTGTCGTGTCAGGTGGGCGTGTCGTGTAGTGGGCGTGTCGTGTAGTGTCGTGTACTGGCCGCGGCCGCAGCTAGACCCTTCTCAAAAAAGGGGCTGCAACGGATCTGATAAAAACTGATCCAGATTTGAACACTGTCCTGACGTCAGGACAGTGGCGCTACGGCTATTGGGCCAACTTCACCAATCAGGAGGAGACAGCCACGGCCATTGCCGTTCGAAAGCGCTGGAGATGCTGTAGTACATATGCCAGGCCTGTAGATGGTGCTGTTCTCACTGAATCAACCCTTGCAAAAACAGAGCTAACATTTTTCAAATTGAGCGAAATGAGGCATGGCTAAAATGCATGATCTGTTTGGTATTTTGAAAAAAAAAAAGTATAAATATGCCTTATATAGGTATGGTCCTATACAATATTATTCAAATATAGCATGATAGGTCCACTTTAAGGTGTTTGAAGAGTAGATAAAAAATACAATTTATTTTGAAAAAGATTATTGCCACAAAAAAATCAAAGGCTCATCACACCATGAAATGGGAAATAATGAGCTCTAACGAAGAGTGGGATTAAAGGAACAATAAATATGCCTGCCATGTTGTGTGGTATTTGGTTGTCAACCTATTTTTGTTTGTGAAATGTTGAAGTGTGGTCCTACTGACTGTATCTTTATTTCTTCTGTTTTTGTTTTGTTTTTGTCTGAGATGGGAATGTCATCTCCTTTATGTTATTGTTATGTCCATGTTTGTGTCTTTAGCCTGTACAAAATAAAAAATAATAAAGAAGTAACTTGCAATGCCTTCGCGGACCACTTGGGGAACCACTAGTTTAGATTATTCTGATTTCTCTTTTGTTGCTTTTTTACTTTATAATTTCCCAGACTATAATATAGTATCCTCTCCAATATACATTTTTAACTGTTATTCTTAATTCTTAAATGCAAACACCAAAAGCAAGCAGAAAATCTAACATTGTGCATTTATTTATGCATACTGGTGCTGGGGGGAACTAAACAAAAATAAAATGTTTTCACATGCGGCTCTAATCTTCTTCCTTATACAGCAACCCATCTGACTTACAGTATATCATGTGTAATCTTGTTAAAGCATAAATGTTTAAAACCAAGGCTCTTATTTTTTAAGGTCACACTTCTCCATCAAACGGAAATATTCTAAATGCCCTGTGAATTTATTATATTGTTCTGCAAATTGGGACAATATTCACGACTGCACATCATTACTGTAGTTTGCCATGATTTTCATGTGAAATTTCTGTTATATAATTTCAAGTTTTATTTGGTCTAACAGTACAACTATATGATAGATCTACACCAACTACTTAATTTGCATCATGCATAATATTGTTGATAAAAAATAGGCCATCAGCAATTATGTTCGAGGTTTTCCCTTAAGTAAATAGGCCTCACCACATATTTGACGTTTACTAAATCAGCTGTTGTCTTCTTATTATTATTACCATCACAGTATTCACGTCTCTTTATTTTTTTTATTTTTTTTTAATTTATTATTTTATTGTGTTGCACTATTGGAGGAGCCTGTGACCTAAGATTTTCATCGTCATAACTACACTGTAGCTAGGTAGTATGACTAATAAAAGCCTTGAACCTTGAACCATCAGTATGGCATGCAAACACTTTAACACCACTAGAGGACGATGTCTTGCAGCTTTAGAGACTGAAGCTTCAGTGGTTTTAACTCATTATGCATAAACTTTGTACCTCAACACGTAGGTAGTTCTGCATTTACTCACTGATATATTCAGAACTGCCGGAGGCTCACATATATGTATCAGGACAGTCAAAGTTTGACGGCTGGCATTTCCTCTGCATTTTATATCTCACAAAGATACATCAATGGATATTTTAACTTTACTATGGATAATCTCTCTGGCTTTCACAGGTAAGAATCTTGGTCTTTAAAAGTGTTTCCATTTTCTGCTGTGGGTGTTAATGATACACTTCCTATACTTTACAATAATTGCTGAGTTCTAGGGTTTTTGGAAAGGTGTTTACTGTAGCTAATAATTGGGATTTTTCTTTCTTTCGTTTTTGACTCAAAAGCAGCATAGTTAGCAGACAAAAAGCATGACTGATACAAATGAATTGCGCAAACAAAGACCTTTGCCATGTGATTGAGGAAATATCAAGATATCTATTTTCAGACATGTATACATATATATAGTGAAGGAAATGTATGTATCAAAATCTTGATCTATTGTTGCTTTTTCAGATGGATAGCACAATGGTATCTTGCTAATTTGATATCATTGTAAGATTTCATTCCCATATTGAAGTTTACTAGCCAAAATTGTGATCTATTTTAATTCCTTAAGATGTACAATCATCCTAATTTCATTGTGAATTATTCTAAACAGCTAGACATTGATACAGTATTATGGAATAAATAATGTTATGTTTTTGTTTTGGTCTGTTATGAAGGATTTGGTCCAAGGGCTTATTTTGCAGTGACCTCTGTCTGTCTCTCTACAGGTTTAACTGAAGGATCTGGTGTGCTGCCAGACGGTCCTCTGAATGCAGCTGTGGGAGAAACAGTGATGTTCATCACAACACTGACTCCAGGAACAACTTTTTTATTAGTGACCTGGAAGTTTGGTGCTAAAGATATATTTACATTCTTTGAGGGCAACAAAACTACACCAGAGTATGAAGGCAGGATCACCTTCTTCAGGTCTACTGGATCTCTGGAGCTCAAGAACCTGACTCAAGCTGACAGAGGAGATTATTCAGTTAACATTTTAATAACTGGAGAAGGATCACAGTCAGGGATCACAACACTGGACGTATATGGTGAGAAAGTTTCACATGTTGCATATCTTTCTCTGCTGAATGAAAATGTGCGTAGCGATTGAGCAATTAAACAATGATATAGGGCCCTTTATTCTTTGCACCACCATCATCAAATACAAATTTAGAAAAAGTGTCTTTCTTTTGTAGATGGAGCTTGTAAAAACGTTCAATGTGGAACCATGAATAATCATGCCACTTCAGTGTTTTCTTTTACTGTAACTTTATAAAATGTTTTTTGTGCTTCACCCACAGAGCCAGTCTCCAATGTAACGGTAACCCCCAGCAGCACAGAGCTGGTGGAGTTCAACAGCTCCGTCAGTCTGTCCTGCTCCTCCTCTGGATCCTCTCTCTCTTTCCTCTGGCTGAACAGCAGCTCTGAGGTTACAGGAAGTGACAGAGTTCAGATCACTGATGAAGGATCCACTTTAACTATAATTAATGTGACCCGCTACGACCAAGGACCCTTCAGCTGTCGTGTATCTAATCCTGTCAGTGAGGGAACCAGTGATCCATTAAACATACTCATCATCTACTGTGAGTTACTAACCTACTCAGTATATTTACTTAACAAGATCTGAATGCATGTCAGTTTGTTTTGTTGTCTTTTTGTTCACGCATGGGTTTATAAAATATTAAAAGACATTTTCCCCTCCTATTTTAATCCAGCACATCATCCCTGCACACTACAGCACAGTTCAAACTAAATAATTGTAAATTGGACACTTATATTTAGAAACTGTTCATTGCATGCTTGCTGTAATATAAGATCCTTGTTTGTATAATAAAGCAGTTGTGAATACTAACATATTGCTGTTGTATTACCCCTAAATTCAGATGGCCCAGAAAATACTAAATTGACAATATCTCCGCCCGAAAAACACCATCAGGAAGGATCAAACATCGTCCTGTCCTGCTCAGCTGACTCTAACCCTCCTGCCCAGTTTCAGTGGTTTCTGAATGGAGACCTGCTGTCTGATGGACCAGAGCTCAAACTGATGAACGTTCAGATAAATCAAAGTGGAAGCTACAGCTGTCAGGCCTTCAACGACAAGACTCTGAGATATGAGACGTCGATGCCTGCATCCATCTCTGTACTGAGTACGTTTGAAAATATGTTTTTGCGCAAAGAAATACCGATGAAAAAAATGAGGTGTACCTGTAACTATAGCATCAGATGCAACTGTCTTAGATAAAATGAAGGTTAGGCAAAACCTTTGTGGGAGAAAAAAAAACAATGTACTTCCACTTTTGAGAGTGCTGCAATATTTGCTTTTACAAGGACAACTGAGGCTGAGAATAAAAATGTATGAAGTCGCACAAAAATACTACCTGGAGAGACCTGCAGCAGAGAAAAGATGTGGCTAGCAGATACAACTAATACACACAGTGCAGGACAATCATAGTTAAACACATTGATATAGCAATATGGCAGAAATATTCTGTGAACATATAAAATCACCTTTCAAATCTCAAATTAGTTTTTCAGTGATAAACATTTTTATAAAATTGCCATTCAGAGTGAGTATTAGGCTAACAAAAACTTGAATTGTTGTATAACCAAGGTAAATGTTGCTGTGGCTAATTGGACAAGATATCCTCTAAGGTCAGCCAACACCGGTAAATGTTTCACCAGGTACTAGGCTTGGTGCAACATTTTGAAACAGGATAAGATCAAATATTTAAACATGCTTAATAATCTGGTGACCAGCTTAACTGATGATCAATGCATCAACGTTGTTAGACCGGTTACTGCTAAAAGACTATCAGTAAAGCCGTAAAGTATAAACTAAGAATAACTGCAGGATCACAGGTAACTGAACATTCCCATGTTTACATGTTTATGTTCAACGCCATTATTACTGACCATGGAGAATTAAACATTCAAAACACTCCACTCTACTTCTTATGCAAGAAAGCTGGTCAGTGTAAACCCCCTGTGTTTTCCACCCACAGCAAATGTTACCAATGTTGTGGTAACTTCAGAACCAACAGAGCTGGTGGAGTTCAACAGCTCCGTCAGTCTGTCCTGCTCCTCCTCTGGATCCTCTCTCTCTTTCCTCTGGCTGAACAGCAGCTCTGAGGTTACAGGAAGTGACAGAGTTCAGATCACTGATGGAAACTCCACTTTAACTATAAATAATGTGACCCGCTACGACCAGGGACCATTCGAGTGTCTCTAATCCTATCAGTGAGGGAACCAGTGCTCCACTCACCATCTACTGTGAGTTACTAATATGTGCATACATTTGATTCTGCACATTGCTTTAAAGTTGATGGTATTATGAGGCTTCACACTGAGCTAAGTGGTCACGTAACATTGTCTTTAAGCTGCCAGCATTAATTTAATTCATTTCTTTACTTCCCGTATGCCACATAGATGGTCCTGAAAAAACGTATTTGACAATATCTCAGCCACAAAAATATTATGAGAAAGGGTCAGACATCAGCCTGATGTGCTCAGCTGACTCCAGACCTTCTGCTGTATTTAAGTGGTTTCTGAATGGAGCCCTGCTGTCTGATACTGGATCAGATCTCAGTCTGATGAACGTTCAGATCAGTCAGAGTGGGAACTACAGCTGTCAGGCCTTCAACAACAAAACTCTGAGATATGAAATGTCTCAGCCTTCAGTCATTTCTGTACTGGGTAAGTTTGAAAAGAAGTTGTTTGTGCAAAGAAAACAAATACAAATGGGATGTTCAGTACTTGTGACTTTAGCATCAGATGCAACTGTCTTAAAAAAATGTTCATCACAAACTTTTGTGTTACAAAAAGAAACAATGCATTTACAACGAAGGAAGTTCTACAATATTTGCTTTTACAAGAACAACTGAGGCTGAGAATAGAAGTGTATGGAGTCACACAAAAATACATGGAGTGACAAGCTAAGATTAAACATATTTACTAATCTGGCAGTGGCTCAGTCAGTAGGGGCTTTGACTGTGAGCTGTAGGGTCGCCGGTTCAAGTCCCCGAACAGACCTAAATATGGAGTGTGCACTGCTACTTGGAGAGGTCCCAGTTCACCTCCTGCCCTGCCATGGTGCCCTTGAGCAAGGCTGACTTGCGACTGGTCTCTACCTGACCGGAGTCTGTTAACAACAGTTAAATCATTTCAAATAGTGATTATTTCTTTACCTGAAAAAGTTTAGTTCCTTAAACTCCCACTGTTTTGATTCAGTCAAGAAATGCTACAATAATCAGTTTTCTTCTCTGTTATTCAGTGTGTTAATTAACACACTATCTTTCTAAGAACACGTGATGATATGTACTTCTTGTATAGATGATATTTCTGAGCTATAGGTTGTCCAACGCGGTGCATTTAAAAAAAAGATGAGGGCAGTCAGACACTCAGCATGTTATATACATTATTCAGAGAGAATTAGTAACATGTTTGCTTCTTATAAAAATAAACTGTTCCTTTTATATTTATTAACTCAGGCATTAAATCAGCTACTTTTGTTCCTGCTTTTATATCTTTCACCTGATCTTTTGCCCAACAGAGAAAGTATCAGGCACTTCTGTCACATCTCCATCAAACCTGCCGATTGAGGGGAACTCTTTCAGATTAATCTGTGACGCTGCTGGCTCTGTCTTTACCAGAGAGTGGAGAAAGGGTGGCTTAGATCTGACTCTGACTGTAAACATGACCCTCACCAACAACAACAGAGAGCTGTCTTTTAGCAGTCTGAATAAAGAGGACAAAGGAGATTATTCCTGTAATATCAGCAACCCCCTCAGCAGCGAGGAAGCAAAGTACTCCATGATTGTTTACTGTAGGTATCAAACTATAACTTTAACGTTTACAATTATACTTTTAGATTATTGAGTAAACTATTGAACAAGTTTTATATTCCTCCAAATATCTGTTTTCCAGACGGACCAGAAACAGTTCAAATCAGAGGTCCAAGTCAGATACATGTTGGAGGCACATTTAAATTAACCTGCTTGGCTGCATCTGTACCACCTGCAAAATACACCTGGGTGCCGAACACCGGGGCGATAGTCAATTCTGCTGTGATTTATAGAAACAACACTGAACTCTCTGACAGTGGCAACTACTACTGTGAAGCGAGGAATGATATAACCGGGAGAAGATCATCAGCGGTCCATGAACTGACCGTAACACATGAGCCAGAGCCAGGGCCAGGTAGGAGCACATTAAAGTCAGTAAGAACATATGTAAGCAGGCTCTAAAAAATGTATAAAAGTCAAATTGATGTCATCAATTTTGATTATTTTAAACTAAGGAAACATGATCAATGTGCAGATAATTTACATGTATTTAAAGAAAATGTCCCTGGCCCCCTCTCCGTTCAATACATTCATTAAACAAAATAAAATCTCGTTAACTTGAAGGACTAGCGGAGGGGATTGTAAAATACCTTTCAGTGAAAGTACAACTACTATTCTAACTGGCAGCACGTACCTTAAGATCTAAGGAACATAACATCAACTCTTTTAAATCTATAAATCACACAATCAAACAATCAGACATGCTCTCCTTATTTTAACTGTTATTATGTGTTTTCCTTTTCTAATTGTCCTTGCAGTAAAGTTTGTCCGCGCTTGTGCATGTGCTTTTCTTGTGATGTCTCAATTCTTTTGGTCTTTTCACTATGCTAATGCTCTTTAATTGTGTTTATGTGCTTTTATACGTTTTCTTTTAATGCCATCGATAGAACAGGAACTAGAAAATGAGCCTGCACTCGAGGGCTTATGGTAATTTAAAATGCATTTTAAACAACATAAACAACTCTTAACAGAACCATTGTATAGGTTTTTATAACTGGCTTTGAAATATCCTATTGGGAAAAATGTAATATGCTTTTTATCCACAGGCATTTTGAGATAATGAGACAGTTCCTGTTCACAGAATAATATTAAAATCATGTTCTTTTCTCCTGTTTTATTCAAGGCCCACAAGGCTTGTCGGGTGGTGGCATCGCTGGAATAGTAATCGGTGTTTTAGTCGTCCTCGGTGTTGTAGCTGCTATTGTGTGGTACTTCTTTCATAACAAAAAGTAAGTGGAAAAGATCTTAAGTATATAACATAAATCTATTTTCACAGTAATACTCAATTACAAGTATGGGAAAGGTGATGGCTCAGTATCTCCAAGTCTAGACCCAAAAGCTTGACTCAAAAACCAGGCAGGAGGAAGATTCAGGATCAGCACATTGGAAGATATCAGACAGAACATGTGGAGCCAGAATGGTGTAGACATTGTGTGTAACAACCTTGTTTACTCAACCTACAAAAGGTTGATGTTCAACAAAGGGCCTGCTCTTATTATATATTCTCCATATGTTCCTAAGCCCTTTAGTTATGACTCCTTTGTGTTATGTGTCATTGGAGCTGTCGGTGGAGGGTACTACATTTATAACACAAAGTAAGTTGAACATCTATACTGCAGTCTGTGTAATGAAAAGTAACAGTTTGAATTGAGTTGATCTGTTTGCATGTCTATATTTTATCATTGCTTTTTAGAAAACAACAACAAAGCAGAACCACAATCAGAAACAACAACAAAGCTGAACCACCATCTGATAATAAAGGTTAGTATTCATGTGATCAAATTGTACATATGTATTCAAAATAAGGTATTAACACTTTTCTTTCCTCCTAGAACTAGAAGAGGCTGTGTATGAGAACACTTCAGCAATATACGAGAATGAATAGACTCAGCCGTCTTCTTTGTGCTAAAGGTACGTTTTAAGATATGATATATGTTCAAAGGTTTCTGTAGAAATATTTAACTTAGTTTATCTGAAGGAACCACTATAGAAGCACATTATCAGACCACTCATTCTAACATACACTTGATCAAAGCTCTTTGACACTTCCCTCTTTTCACTTCTCGTCCAACAGCCGTTCAGAGGAAGAAGAGCTTCACAACATAAAGACAAAGCGGCTCTGAAATGTTATCACATTATTTGAAATGCTTTTTCTAATGTGTCAGCAAACACTTATCATGTACAGTGTAGTAATACCATGAATTTCACATTTTAAAAGGTCACCTATTATGCAAAATCCACTTTATCATGTCTTTTCTACACTGTAAAAAATGGCTGTGAAATCCACAGTTATTTACAGTGTTTGTGCACAGTAAATGACTGTATACCATTTTAGAGTATAATACCGTGTTTCCAACCAAAAATTACAGCAACTCTGGAGTTACTGTAGAAATAGCAGTAGTAACGTCCCAACTGTATAAAATCACAGTAACCAACAATGTACTGTAGAAGATCACAGTAACCAAAAAAGAAAGAACCAACTGAAAAACCCCATTTCTAGAATAGCTAAAATATCTAAAATATCTTAAATAAACCAACATATTTTTCTTAATATACATAATCTTGATGCAGTGTAATTACTAGTTTGGCTATACTAGATACTGTATATACTTAGTAGATATATATTTTTAAGACCGTATGTCTTTGCAAACCGGAAGAACTACAAATGTGATGCTGATTCATACAAAGAATGTGTCTTGGCATTGCACCTTAAAAACGCAACACAGAGGAATAAAAATAGACAAAAGTAAGGTAATAATCATCAATTTTATTATTATTGTGGCGGCTCAATTCCCAGTCCAGTTTGAGTCGCCGAGAGGCTAAGTTTGGCTATAGGCTGTGACGCGTTTTCAAAGAGAAAGTCCACACCGAAGTAATATAGTCTGACAATATTTAATAAACAAAAACTAACGACAAACTATAGGGACAAAAACGGTCAACAGAAAAAAATAGGCTTGTTTGAGATGAGCTGCGGCTCGCCTCGAAAGTAGACGAGAATAGCCGATTGCAGCTGGGGGAGGTCTCAAAAAGCTCGCCTGAAGTCGGACAGCTCGGAGTCGGCTTGACTCGGTTTGCAATGGCGGAAATTGCGTTGGCGTTCTTCGTTGCAGATGAAGTGGATGCAATAGAAATCCCACAATTATTATATCACTACAAATGAATGACTCAAGTGTCTGTTCATTTTAAAACAAATCAATACAACGGGGGCTGAATCCTACATGTAAAAGACAGAACCACTTATTACTTTTCAAAACTACTTCCGTCAGTGGTCTTGACCAGTTTGCATGGTAACTCAAGAGACAAAGAAAGTAACTAATATAAACAATTTTGTCAGTTAATTTATGTAACCGTAGCCAAAGTTTGACAGTCAGGCTGCTTAGTGAAAAAGCAAGTTAAGCTAACTGTACTTGGCTAGCTTATCAAAATGTCTTACACGTGTAAGGTTTGTAAGTTCAGTACAGGGTCCATTCCTGCATGCATTTGGTTGTTTGTATTCAAAGTGTTTTCAAATATTGTGTATTATCTAAGAATAGTGATAATGTATTTGCCAAACAGTGCCTTTTGTTGTGTCTCGTCAAATGTGTTAGTTATGTTTATGTATTATGTCCGTCATTTCATGTTTAGTCAGGTTTTCATGTTTATTCACGTCATGTCAGGTCTGTCTATTTATGTCATTCATCTCTAGTTAAGTCCCCGTGTTTCATGTCGTGTCTCGTTTTCCATTTCCTGTTTTATTTTGTACTTCCCTCTTCCCTCTCATTTCAGGCCCTGTTACTTCCTCCCTTTGTGTGTTTTCCCGCCATCGTCAGCGTCTGCCCCGCCCCTGATTGTTTCCACCTGTTCCCACTCACCTCATGTTTAAATATTCCGGTCTTCCCCTGTTCTGTGTCAGTTTGTGTTTGTTCCCACGTGTGGTCGTGCCAGGCCTCAGCAAAGAGAGGATCGTTTCCAGTCTTGTTAGGTTTTGTTAGTTTAAGTTCTCTTTTTATTATGCTTAGTTTTTTCCTCCTTGTGAGCGTTTATTTTGTTATTCCAGTACTTACTCTGTTAAGAGGGATTTTCTGTTCAATGACATTAAAAAGACAATTTTTGTTACATTCAAGACTGTGTCTCTGGGTCGTGCATTTGGGTTCTCCAGTTTGTGTCGAGGTCGTGACACCTTTTCAACTACAGCACGTCTCTAAAATGGCTTGGCAGAAGAAATGGCTTCATATTTTTTGTGTTTTGTTATCGCCACTGTTTTAAAAATGCAATCTCCATGTTTTTGGATATTAATATTGATTGTTTTATGGATGAAAATATTTATCATTTAGCACAAGAAACTACATGGTCTTGATACCCTTCAACAATTAAGAATACATTGTTAAAATGTATTGTTTGCTGTCTCCCTGCAGTTATTGGTGAGCTTTAAAACTGTGTCAAGAATTTCTGCTAATATGTAAATTACCAGCATGACATGAAGTACACAATAATAAATTGTTTTACAGTTACAATACTGATACTGTAACTTAAAATGATAGCATTAAAGTTTCTATTTTACAGTTGAAACACCATTACCATAAACAAAAATACAGTACTTTTTAAATGGCAGTGTTTTATTTTATAGTTAAAATACTATTACCTTAAACAAAAATACAATGCTTGGAAATTACTGTGTTTTATTTTTACAGCTATAACACTACTGCTGTACAAAAAATAAAGTAATTAAATATTACTGTGTTGCATTTTACAGTTAAAACACTATTACCGTAAACACAAATACAGTACTTGGAAGTTACTGTGTTTCATTTTACACTGTTACTTTAAATAAAAACTTGTAAATACTGTGATTACCTTTACAGTATTTAACTGGCAACAATTGACAAGTTACTTACTGTAATTCATTTTACAGAAGTAACTTCTCAATTGCTGCCAGTTAAATACTGTGAATTTCACGGTACGTTTCTTACAGTGTACATCAACATTACAGTCTGTGTAAAGAGATTCTGAAAGTTTCAGGAACAAAGATTATCTCTCTTTTTGTCCTGTCTTAAAATGAGCTGATCAGATTTTGGCCACTTTATGATGTCATAACGATTTTTTGGCTTGTGTAACCATTAGCCAATCACCAACCAAGGTAAGGATGAAGTTGAGTGGAGAGGCTAACTGCTAAAATAGCTAACGCCATTGTAAAAACAGACAACACAATTTCTGGAAACTACGACAAGTGTCCTGAGAATCTGAGGTCGGCCCCAACCCTGGGTTCATTAACATCAAGGCTGAACACCTTGCTTTTTATGCTGTTTTCCCCGAGGTCATTTAAATATGATTTAATATTGCACTTCAGCACTCCTTCAGCATTATGTGTATTTACAATTACAGTTTAACTAATTTCTATCTCTTTTATGAATTGTCTTTTTGATCAATTTATTTAGTTCAATAATTGATTTCTCTTTTTGTAAAGCACTTTGAATTGCCTTTGTGTCTGAAATGTGCTATATAAGTAAACTAACCTTTATCTTAAAGCATTATGGTAAGTTGATGTTGAGAACTATGCAACCTTACAACTAATGCAACATAACAACAGTGACATCGAGTGGTGGATCAGTCAACTCCAGCAGAGAAACATGTCCATTTGTGAATTGTAAATATGTCAGACAGGCTGGTATAAAACCTAATTAAATTTAAAAAATTGATGTAAGGACCAGTATGAATGAATAAATAAATGTGTGAATGTTTCAACTAAGGTGTGACATCATGAATAGACAAATATTTAGTTTCCTGTGTACGTTTCAGCTCTAATGGCCTTTTTTGTTTTTGTTTGTCTATGATTTTAATGTTTATTTGTAATAACAATGTTGCATTGAAAAGGAATTAAGAGGGAATTTCAGTCCATTAATTCAGTAGAAGAAGAGTGGTAACAGAAAATATGTCAGAATAACATTTAAACCTAATTTTGTGGCAATTTATCATTTTGATCTTAAGATGTTTAACAGGATAAATGAAACGTTTGGAGCAGAGTCAAAAGATCACTGAAGTCATTGTACTAATCGTCACATTTAAGTTTAGATATTTGACCATAACAAATTCAACCACACAGTAGGGCCAGAAGATAATTCAGAAGATCGTCACATTTTAAGTTTATAGCAACCAATCACACTATTTTTTAAATATCTCAGTCCCAATCAAAGTCAGACATTGCCATAGACCCTCTACAACAGCCCAAACTAGCTAAACTCAGCTACATTGGAAACTTTTTGACATTTTGAAATGTTTTGATTGCATTATTGTAATCGATTTAAAAATACAAGATGATACATTTTCGAATTTCTCAAAAGGTTTGTTTATGTCAGGGATGCAAACTCATCAGGTATGAAAAAGGTGACAAGGATCAGAGCCCCCCGACCCCACGGAATATCGGCTTTAAAATTAGGATTTTAGCAGTCAGAACAACTAAAGCAGTTAATAATAACAGAAACGCCAAAGAGTCACATCTAATAGAAATGTATAAAAGCATTTATTTGAATTGTGTAGCAGTCAGTTTATAATTTTGGCAGCACTGTTGAGCATTTTGAAAATGTATTTTCATGCCTCTGTGCAAGGCTTATGCTGCGTTCACACCGGACGCGATGCGATGTTTGGGGGCGGCGCGATTACATGTAAAGTCAATGCAGAGACGCGGACAGACGCGAATTCGCTCCGACGGCGCGCATGAAGCGGTGGACGCGGCGCGAATCACGCGATTGAGGCGATTGAACGGTGCCGCGTTAAACGCGAGAGTTCAATTTTTTCAACTCGAGCGTCAAATTCACGTGACGCGTTCTCGCGGAAGCCAATCAGCGGTGAGGATCTCAGCTGCCGTCACTGACGTTCAACCACACAACATCAGTCGTTAGCTGTTAGCAGTTAGCACACAGAGCTCACAGCTCCTCATATCTATTCAGAAACTGGACAAAAGTTAAACAAGTACAAACCACAGACTGTCTGTGCCATGGCGAATACAGTCGCTGCTTTATTTATGTCTGTAGGCCGTTGTTATGAGTGTGGAATGAGCATAGACAACGTTAGCTTAGCCTGGTCGACCCGATCTTCATTCAGAAAACAAGCATTTTAAAAGGTGTTTTGCCTGCCGTCTTGTCTGCAGACTTGTCAAAGCATTAATTCATGGTTGTTACTAACCGGTATCAGTATGGTGTTACTTCGGCATCATTTAGAAACGTGTATTACAATTTAATCACGGTAAAATATGTTCATTTGTTGTAGTTGTAGCTCCCGAGCCAGCGCGTCTTGTTTGAATGATGCGAGTAAACACAGCTGGCAGCCGCGGTGAAACTCCAGCGTTTAGAGCGATGCGATAGGAGCGATTAGAGCGAAGCGATTAGAGCGAAGCGAATATTCGCATCGCGTCCGGTGTGAACGCAGCATTAGTCTTTCTATCTGTATAGCCAGTGGTGTAAAGTAACTAAGTTCATAAACTCAACAAGTACTATACTTGGGTACAATTTTGAGATACTTGTACTTTATTTAAGTATTTCAATGTGTTGCTACTTTGTTCTTCTACTCCACTACAGTTCAGAGGTAAATGGTGTACTTCTACTCCACTACATGTATTTAATAGCTTTAGTTACTTTACAGATGTGGATGAATGATGTGAAATATAATCAAGTGTTAAATCAGACTTTAGTTCCACCTGGAGTAAATTCACAAGCTATCCTGCAGTATACAAAGTCATTCAAACTAGCTGCACCTTTACCAGCTTTGAGAACACTTTAATGATCAATCATTATAAAACATATCATATATATTATTCTGAAATGGACCAATCTGCACGATGAGTACTTTTACTGTCGCTACTTTAACTATATTTTGATGAGAATACTTTTCTACTTTTACTTGAGGAACATTTTGAATGCAGGACTTCTACTTCTACTTTTACTCAAGTACAAGACCTGAGTACTTCTACTTTTACTTAAGTACAAGACCTGAATACTTCTACTTTTACGAACAAGACCTGAGTACTTCTACTTTTACTCTAGTACAAGATCTGAGTGCTTCTACTTTTACTCAAGTACAATAAATATACTTATACCACCTCCGTTTATAGCCTATGAAAAAAACTATTTGAAAACGAAGGCTAAAGCTAACGTTAGCAGATAGTGACAATGTATGCTAGTTAGCTAGCTCAACGATAATATTGCGACAGGAACACTTTTCAGTGCACATCACGCTCTGCCGCTCCGACAGGGAGCTCTGATCTGAACACCTGAACGGCCCGTTCTAACAGCTGTTCACCAGTGGTCCAGTCTGTGCCACAGTGACTCCGGACCGCACAGTTAATATTAACGAACGCACCCGTAGGTAATGTAGCTGCTGAAGCTAGACCCTCATCCCGGAGCAGCAGAGCCTTATTATACATCCATGAGCAGAGCCGACAGGCAGGAAGACTCGAGCACACAGCTCGCGCTTCATTATAATATATAAAAAAAAGAACACCATGCGTGTCATGATGGCACATAACAGCTCGCGGCCGCAGATTACTCCGGGTCCCAGACCCCCCCATAACCCAAAAATATTTTTATTGCAGATCTACATGAATCACACAAACGACCTATTTTGGATTCAAAACGGCGAATTTCGCCGAAAGGTGACAAGTTTGCATCCCTGTTATGTGCAACAAAATGTTTGTTTATGTGCAACAATTCAAGTTTTAGGATATTTTTCACAAAGCATGGCTCATTATTTTGTCAAACATATTGACATAGAAAGATCTTAACCTTGAATGCTTAATATGATGAGCTTTTCTTTTGTATTGTTATCATTGTAGTGCGTTTGTACCTGTCGGCCACCGTATAATAGTGGTTAAACCATGGTTGTGTATACTTGATTTTAAAAGGCCTTTGGACATTCCCCAATGTACCTGATGTTCTAGTATGTACATGACATTTTTAACACATGTCTTAATTTATAAATAAACCCCTAAATGTTTAGTCGTATCAAACTGGGATGTTACTAGCCCCAACAGCAGTGATGGGGTCGTTACTCCAAAAAAAAAGAAGTAATATATTACTTTACTTTGTTACATTACTCTTTACATTACTTTTGCTTTACTCAGCAACAGCCTAT